ATTCAAGATGTCCATGTACACATGATCTAATACTGATCCTTTCATGATGTCTATGTACACATGATCCTATACTGATCCATTCATGATGTCCATGTACACATGATCTAATACTGATCCATTCATGATGTCTATGTACACATGATCCAATACTGATCCATTCATGATGTCTATGTACACATGATCTAATACTGATCCATTCATGATGTCTATGTACACATGATCCTATACTTATTCATTCATGATGTCTATGTACACATGATCTAATACTGATCCATTCATGATGTCTATGTACACATGATCTAATACTGATCCATTCATGATGTCTATGTACACATGATCTAATACTGATCCATTCAAGATGTCCATGTACACATGATCTAATACTGATCCATTCATGATGTCTATGTACAAATGATCCAATACTGATCCATTCATGATGTCTATGTACACATGATCCAACACTGATCCATTCATGATGTCTAAGTACACATGATCTAATACTGATCCATTTATGATGTCTATGTACACATGATCCAATACTGATCCATTCATGATGTCTATGTACACATGATCTAATACTGATCCATTCATGATGTCTATGTACACATGATCTAATACTGATTCATTCATGATGTCTATGTACACATGATCTAATACTGATCCATTCATGATGTCTATGTACACATGATCTAATACTGATCCATTCATGATGTCTATGTACACATGATCCAATACTGATCCATTCATGGTGTCTATGTACACATGATCTAATACTGATCCATTCAAGATGTCTATGTACACATGATCTAATACTGATCCATTCAAGATGTCCATGTACACATGATCTAATACTGATTCATTCATGATGTCCATGTACACATGATCTAATACTGATCCATTCATGATGTCTATGTACACATGATCCAATACTGATCCATTCATGATGTCTATGTACACATGATCTAATACTGATCCATTCATGATGTCTATGTACACATGATCCAATACTGATTCATTCATGATGTCTCTGTACACATGATCCAATACTGATCCATTCATGATGTCTATGTACACATGATCCAATACTGATTCATTCATGATGTCTCTGTACACATGATCCAATACTGATCTATTCATGATGTCCATGTACACATGATCTAATACTGATCCATTCATGATGTCTATGTACACATGATCCAATACTGATCCATTCATGATGTCTATGTACACATGATCTAATACTGATTCATTCATGATGTCTATGTACACATGATCTAATACTGATTCATTCATGATGTCTTTGTACACATGATCCAATACTGATCCATTCATGATGTCTATGTACACATGATCCAACACTGATCCATTCATGATGTCTTTGTGCACATGATCCAATACTGATCCATTCATGATGTCTATGTACACATGATCCAATACCGATCCATTCATGATGTCTACGTACACATGATCCAATACTGATCTATTCATGATGTCCATGTACACATGATCTAATACTGATCCATTCATGATGTCTATGTACACATGATCCAATACTGATCCATTCATGATGTCTATGTACACATGATCTAATACTGATCTATTCATGATGTCTATGTACACATAATCCAATACTGATCCATTCATGATGTCTATGTACACATGATCCTATACTTATTCATTCATGATGTCTATGTACACATGATCTAATACTGATCCATTCATGATGTCTATGTACACATGATCTAATACTGATCCATTCATGATGTCTATGTACACATGATCTAATACTGATCTATTCATGATGTCTATGTACACATAATCCAATACTGATCCATTCATGATGTCTATGTACACATGATCCTATACTTATTCATTCATGATGTCTATGTACACATGATCTAATACTGATTCATTCATGATGTCTATGTACACATGATCTAATACTGATCCATTCATGATACCCATGTACACATGATCTAATACCGATCCATTCAAGATGTCTATGTACACATGATCTAATACTGATCCATTCATGATGTCTATGTACACATGATGTAATACTGATCCATTCATGATGTCTATGTACACATGATCTAATACTGATCCATTCATGATGTCTATGTACACATGATCCAATACTGATCCATTCATGATGTCTATGTACACATGATCCAATACTGATTCATTCATGATGTCTATGTACACATGATCTAATACTGATCCATTCATGATGTCTATGTACACATGATCTAATACTGATCCATTCATGATGTCTATGAACACATGATCCAATACTGATCTATTAAAGATTTATATGTACACATGATCTAATACTGATCCATTCATGATGTCCATGTACACATGATCTAATACTGATCCATTCATGATGTCTATGTACACATGATCCAATACTGATCCATTCATGATGTCTATGTACACATGATCTAATACTGATCCATTCATGATGTCTTATTCACATGATCCTATACTGATCCATTCATGATGTCTTTGTACACATGATCTAATACTGATCCATTCAAGATGTCCATGTACACATGATCTAATACTGATCCATTCATGATGTCTATGTACACATGATCCAATACTGATCCATTCAAGATGTCTATGTACACATGATCTAATACTGATCCATTCATGATGTCTATGTACACATGATCTAATACTGATCCATTCAAGATGTCTATGTACACATGATCTAATACTGATCCATTCATGATGTCTATGTACACATGATCCAACACTGATCCATTCATGATGTCTATGTACACATGATCCAATACTGATCCATTCATGATGTCTTTGTACACATGATCCAATATGTGTCCATTCATGATGTCTATGTACACATGATCCAATACTGATGCATTCATGATGTCCATGTACACATGATCTAATACTGATCCATTCATGATGTCTATGTACACATGATCCAATACTGATCCATTCATGATGTCTATGTACACATGATCTAATACTGATCCATTCATGATGTCTATGTACACATGATCCAATACTGATCCATTCATGATGTCTATGTACACATGATCTAATACTGATCCATTCATGATGTCTATGTACACATGATCCAATACTGATCCATTCATGATGTCTATGTACACATGATCTAATACTGATCCATTCATGATGTCTATGTACACATGATCCAATACTGATCCATTCATGATGTCTATGTACACATGATCTAATACTGATCCATTCATGATGTCCATGTACACATGATCTAATACTGATTCATTCATGATGTCTATGTACACATGATCTAATACTGATCCATTCATGATGTCTCTGTACACATGATCCAATACTGATCCATTTATGATGTCTATGTACACATGATCCAATACTGATCCATTCATGATGTCTATGTACACATGATCCAATACTGATTCATTCATGATGTCTATGTACACATGATCTAATACTGATCCATTCATGATGTCTATGTACACATGATCTAATACTGATCCATTCATGATGTCTATGTACACATGATCCAATACTGATCCATTCATGATGTCTTTGTACATATGATCCAATGTAAGTAAAAGTGACAAAACCCTTTGAATACCTACAAGTTATCTCTGTTTAAATCAGAGTGGATTGTATGTTTCCAGCTGTATCTTGAGCATGTGTTTATGAATCACTATTTAATAGTGATGATAACAGGTGTTCAGTAAAAGGTGACCCCCTTGTCTATGTTTACAGGATCCTCTACAGGTCAATACATAATGTCTATGTTTACAGGATCCTCTACAGATCCACACATAATGTCTATGTTTACAGGATCCTCTACAGATCAATACATAATGTCTATGTTTACAGGATCCTCTACAGATCCACACATAATGTCTATGTTTACAGGATCCACTACAGATCCACACATAATGTCTATGTTTACAGGGTCCTCTACAGATCAATACATAATGCCTATGTTTACAGGATCCTCTACAGATCCACACATAATGTCTATGTTTACAGGATCCTCTACAGATCCACACATAATGTCTATGTTTACAGGATCCTCTACAGATCCACACATAATGTCTATGTTTACAGGATCCTCTACAGATCCACACATAATGTCTATGTTTACAGGATCCTCTACAGATCCACACATAATGTCTATGTTTACAGGATCCTCTACAGATCCACACATAATGTCTATGTTTACAGGATCCTCTACAGATCCATACATAATGTCTATATTTACATGGTCCTGTGGCTCTGTTCTAGGCAACACAATACACTTACAATCATAGTGGTTGTATTTTATTTCACACGCAGTGGCTGTGTGCTTGAGAGCACCAGACACAAGTACAATAGATTCTACTTACATGTTTTAGGGCATTTTTTTCATAACAATGTACCGGTAATTCTCTCTCTGTTTAGCATGACATTTGAAAGTTTAGTTTCACACTATACACATTTTGCTTTCTGCATGTAGTTTGATTTTGTGTTTTGTGAATGTCCTTGTGTGATAAACCCTTTGTACTGTTTCCATTGTTTAGTTTGTTGTGCAAATTAGTATTGGATTTACACTTTATGATTATTTTGTTTTGATTTGTAATAATTTGCATTTTCTTTTGTTTTTAACCTAAAAATGTTTACATACACTCACTCTTACTAGGTAGTTTACTGTTTTATTATATTATCAGGACCATGGGTCAAAGTAATTGTGGGAATATCTGACCAGTCTCTATCAGTTGGTTTACAGTTTTCAGAAAAGTCCCCACCAGTAACAACTGCTGCTGGGCTATAAACACATATCAATCATAAATGGCAGCAGCAATATCATGTATAAAGTTTGACAAGGAATAAACGCTGGTCTTTTGGTCTGAATATTAATTGCATATATTTTTGTTGAGTATGGTATATGAGGAGGTAAAGGAAATGTTTGTGTGAGAGCATCAGGCAGCAGGGATGGTGTCAGATGGTGGTAATCATGTGTTCTCTTCCAGGGAGACAAGCTGTTGCGACTGCCCAGCCACTCCTATGACAAACATGACCTGGCCCGCAGCATGAGTGTGGCTGTGGATGGTCCCGAGGAGGTGATGGAGGCTGATGACTACCTCCAACCACAACAACCACAAATCCCAGAGGACACAAAGGTCAGGGCCATCTCATGAAGAGAGTCTTATCATTCATGCTTACCCATTTGGGTACATGCAGTCACTGACTATAGGTTCAATCAAGAATGTGTAGGGAAGATCATTATGTTGTACACAAACTGAGTCTTAATTTATATGCTTGTTTACAAATGTTTACTCTTTTTCAGATCCCTCTGTTGGGTGCTGCAGCGTTTGATCACAAGCCTAAAGATGGGGGAGTAAGACCATGGCGAGAGAAGCGTTATGCTCACCTTGAGTCTGCAGCTGAAGCTCGCAACATGAGACAACAATTGTCACCAACAAGAGGGAGAGAAAACAGTATTAATTCCCGTTACAGCTCAGATCCAGTCCGCTTCTTTAAGGACAGAGGTTTGTCTAATGATCCAGTTTATTTTGAGCGGTATTGTTTACCTATAAATGTGATCACAACCAAACAGTTCATTAAGTTTATTCATGTTTTCTACCTTATAAGTATATAATTATGGAGATATTTCAAATGTGTGATTGCAGATGAGATAGATGGCATCCCACCCAACATGGCAGGTCACCAAGCATATAGTGGCTTCCCAGACAGCCACATCTCACCCATGCCCAAGAAGCAAGACACTCCTCTGAAGCTCCCACTGGATGAAGATGACTACCTTCAGCCCAAGTCAGCCAACCCTGCTGCCTACATGGACCTGAGTGACAAAGGTGAGACTGACAGTGTGGGAACCAGCTGAATGACAAACCATAGAAGCCGGACAATTCTTACGAAACTTCTACCTCTTCTACATATCTGCCATAAATCCTGTATTTTGGCTTCAATCACACTAACCAAAATTTTCAAATTTTCAACAGACATCCTCTTCACTGTCAATTACACACAATTAGTTGTCGCCAAGTAGTCTCGTAACTACCCATGCCATGACGTCACAATGGCGGCCATATCACTTTTTTCTGGGTGTGCTAGAGTTAACACCTACTATAATAGTAGTGACAATCTAGCACTTGGTATTAGGTCACATTAATCTGAGATTATTCTCATAAGGTTGCTATAATAACAGGCATATAAATATATATATATTTAAAGTAATAGTGCTGCTGGAAGAGACTACACACACTGGGGTATAGCTGGTGTTGGGTTTGTGAGGTCGCCATGCAGTCTCCCACCACCCCTGGGTGTGAGAAGTGTGATCAACGATACGGGAGATCCTCATGTAAACTACACGAAGTGCAGAGGGAAGACCTGCACATTGGAGAAGAGATGTGAGAAATGCACCTCCACATCAGAAGAGATATTCTCCAAAATGTCAGAGGCCGCGAAATTGGAAGAGAGGCCAGTGGCCAGTGGAAGAGAGGTGGCGAAGAAGAAGGTTGACAAGATCAATGAGAAATCAGTATCTACTCCAGCGCCTCCCTCTCCAGTGACCCCATCATCTCCTGCTCTCACCCTGAGCCTCATCAAACAACTTCTGAGAGAACAGCAGGAAATGATGAAAGACATGCTTGATTCTAAGCTGTCGCATATGGACGCTAAGATTGCGATGGTAGCTCTGGCTAAGATTACCAGATCTTTGTCCACGGCTGAGGGCAAGGCTACACAAGATCTTCAAGCTGAGCCGAACGGCTAGCCCACGGACCACATCCAGGCCATGGGCCACAGCGTGGATCCTGGTTACCAACACATGGACCAGTCACCAAGCCAGCTAGACCAGAGAACAATACTGTACAGGAGCCACACAGTATCCATGGACAGGCCGTCCATGGCAATCAGCCATACCAGAAAGATGCCACGGGCCTGCCTCTGACGGCATTCCAGCTGACGGGTAATCCATCCAGCCATCCATCAGTGAAGAAACTGTACAGCCGCTGCACAGACTTCATGGGCCAGCCACCCACAGCTACCCAGCCTACCAACAACGGCTTACCATTTGACCGTCCGAAGGGACCCATGCAAGCAGCACAGACCCCATGGGATTACCCAGCCAGCCATCCAGCCATCCAGCCAACCAACCAGCCAGCTGTGAGGACAGCCACGGCATGGCTACCATTACCCACAGGCTACAAGCCACACGGGGACATATTATACCGGAGTCATGGTCACCGGAGGATGATGAGCCCTACGGGGCAGAAGCTGAGGGATATGATTATCCACCCCACCCACCCCCAGGAGATACCCCAGGCTACTCAGAGCCGAAATCAAAGGGTTTGGATTGAGAGCTCACCCCAAAGAGATTACAGCGAAGGCTACACTTTTGTGTGGAACTTATTGAAGAGCTTTACCACCTTATGCGTTCACTTTGGCGACATGTGACTGAAGATTAACCACCCCAGATGCCGGAATACGGAGAATGTCATGTGCCTGCTCCATTTCAGCAAATTTATCAGACGTTACCCAGCTACATGGGTAAGGTCGTAGACAAATCGACGGATAACATCAATAGACTCAAGCAAGATGAAGTTATACAAGACGCACGATGCTACAATTCTGGAGTTCCAACACTTGGATGAGGATTTCTACAAATTAGTGCGCAATCCCAACATGAACATTTCAAGGATTTAGCATCGGTTGCTAGATCCTCAATAGATATAGGTGGCATATATAAATTGGTTTGTCGCAGGAATCAGACACATCATACCGCCTCTACAACTATCCTATGAAAGAAATTGTGCCGGAAACATCCATGACTATTAGGACAAATCAAGTTGGACTAATCCACACCCTCCTTGACTCAATCGTCAAGATGCAGGAAGATTTACTATCATCCCAAATCTGGACTTCCTGACAGGAAGACTACAGGAACAACAGCTCCTATCTCAGATTAGGTCAAGGGTTGTATCCAGCCAGTCCAGGGAGTTTGTGATGTCGCAACCAATATCAGCGACCACAACCTTCAACAAGAAACTCAGAAATGTGATAGATGAAGTAAAACAAGATACAGCCGAGCATTTCCACACTTTAACCATAGACCTTGCGTTGAGAGCTCACAAGTCATCACATTCTCACAAGCAATCCTGGGACCATAAGTCATATGCACCCAAACAGCCTCCTAAAATGTCCCCTCCGGGAAGGATTCATTCCAACCAAGGCGGAGGTATGACAAGCCACAATCTTTGCAGGACTTTTTTCGCCACCCAGACTACAAGAAACGGGGATATAATCGCCAGTGAACATCAAGCATCAGAGGAGAAAGAAAATTCTGACTTCCTTACAGCCCCTTCCGACGTTATAGACCCCTTTTGATGTGGTTACGTCTATGGATTGCGTTTACGCCTACCGTTTTTCAACATAACGCCAACTCCGTTGTGGGTCACGGCTATAAGCTTCACTTCAGAAAACATCTGAGCCTAAACATACACGCTGTGGGTGCCTGAAAGGTGCCAAGTTAGCAGCTGCAGAATTGGCCTTCAGGAAGCTACTAAAGGAACGAGCCATTCAGGAACTAAAGGAGTCCAGCGAGCCATTCGGGAACTAAAGGAGTCCAACAACACCAAAGGTTTTTACTCCCCAGTCTTTTTATTCCCGAAGAAGAACACAACCGAGATGAGGATGATAATAGATCTCAAGACCCTCAACAAAAGATATCTGGTGCCGCTTCCAAAATTCCAGATGGAATCCATACAGAAGTTACGGTCGATGTTGAAGAAGGGAGACTGGCTTATCAGCCTAGATCTTACAGATGCATATCTTCACGTCCCGATACACCCATCATATCGGAAATATCTACGCTTAGCAATCAATGGCCAACGCTCGAATTCCAAGTCCTACCATTTAGGATAGCAGTAGCACCTTGGCTATTCACCAGGATTACAGTGCCAGTCATCAAATTGCCAATTTCCAGCTTGTTCGAATCCATGGTTCTTTGGATGACTTCTTAGCAGCAGACCAAGGGAAAGATAAGCTACATCAGAACATGATATTCTTGATCCAGCTTATGACTTACCTAGGTTTCCAGGTCAACCCAGCCAAGTGAGAGATCACTCCAGCCCAAGACATTATATACATCGGAGCAAGATTCAATTTAGGCAGGGGATATCTATGTCCAACAGAGGATTGATTCGAAAAGACTATAAAGATGATCAAATCAATTTCAAGTCAACCCAGCAAGTTGTTGAGGTGGTGGATGTCTCTGCTAGGCAACTTGACATCTCTACTGGATATGACCTTCAGGGAAGGCTGAGGCTACGTCCTCTACAGACATGGGTAAACTCTAAATGATCAAAGGGCCTAGAATTCAAGTCTCAGTTACATCCCACTTTGCTACAAGACCTCCATTGGTGGAATCACAGAGAACACGTGATGAGTGGCATCCCACTGACTTATCAAACGCCAGAACATCATCTATTCACAGAAGCGTCAGATTCGGGATGGGGAGCTCATATGGATGATCTCACAGTACAGGGATTGTGTAGCACAGAGAAGATCCTTCATATCAACTGCAGAGAAAAAAAGGCCATATATTAAACCATCCTGGAATGGAGAACACAGCTTCATCTATCATCAGTTTTCATAGCCACGGACAACACCACAGTGGTGGCATATATTCAGAAGCAGGGAGGAACCAGATCCAACTCCCTGATGACGGAGACTACACGATTATTTGCCTTGGCAGACTCCTTCAACTGCCAGATGGAAGCGAGACATATACTCGGGAAACTGAACGTACTGGCCGACAGCCTCTCACGTCGGGGGAGAATAGTGGCAACAGAATGGACATTACATCCACAGATCTTCAGCTGGATAATCAAGATATAGGACATGCCACACATTGATCTATTTGCCACCTGCCAGAACAACCAACTTTCAGTTTATGTCAGTCCAGTTCCTGACCCAAGATCACCAGATCGACGCTCTTTTCATGGATTGGACGAATCTATTTGGCTGCGCATTTCCAACATGGTCTCTCCTAGACAAGATCATCCACAAGGTGTAGGAGACGGATTGTGTAATAATACTGGCAGCCCCAGTATGGCCCTGCAGGGCATGGTTCCCCAGACTACTAAAGCTTCTAATGGAGGAACCCATACAGTTACCACTTCATCGAGATCTGCTACGACAGCCCAGGTCCAGCATATTCGATGAAAATCTGCCCAGCCTACATCTTACCGCCTGGAAGTTATCGCGCAGAAGATGCAAACATCAGGATAATCTGTACTTGCCTCGGAAGCTGTGACAAGATCGTGGCGACCTTCATCCACCCTTTAATATGACAACAGATGGAACAAGTTTGTCCAGTGGAGAAGACGACTAGGGATTATTGATAATGCTGTATCAATCCCTATGATAGCGGACTTCCTTCTTCATCTACATCAAGACTATAAATTCAGACACAGGACGATAGAAGGTTACAGATCAGCCCGTCATTCTGTACTTCAACATGATAGATTATCTTTTGGAAACAATCCCATCCTCCACAGATTAACGAAATCATTTCTACTAGAAGATATTAAGACCCCTCGTATCTTCCCCAAGTGGAATCTATCTGTGGTATTATCGGCACTGTTAACAGAACCTTACAAACCCATGGCGAAGGCTACCCTAATTAAAAATGCCAGGAAAACATTGGTACTGCTAGCCATGGCCACAGCAGCAAGAGTTTTTGGAGTTACATGCCTTAGACTATTCTAGTCTTACCCATGATCAACATTGGACTTCTATAACTATAAGATCGCTCCCAGAATTCGTAGCCAAGAACCAATTTGCCACAAAGGGACCACGTGGTCATAGATTCTATACAATCCCTGCATTAGGACCAACAGTGGATCAACCAGACAGACTGTTATGTCACATCATAGCTCGCACATTCTATCTCTCGGCCACAGACCCACATAGACGCTATCGAAGGAGACTCTTTGTATCCTGTAAGACCAACTAGAACTAGGATATCACCAAGGCTACTGTAGCAGGATGGATGAAGGCCACAGTTGCACAAAGTTATACGCAGGCTCAGAATTCCACAACATGCCTTGAATCCTGCTCAGCTCACAAAATAAGAGCCCTAGCCACGAGTCTCGTGTCATCGACTACAGTCTCAGTAGAACCAGTAGTTTCCAGCTGTTAGTGGGCCTTACAAAACACCTTCACCGGCTTTTACTTACGTGATGTGCAACCTGACCTAGAGGGCATGTATTCCCTTGGTTGGGTGGTCTGGGCACAAGCTATCGTCCGACAATAGTTTTACCCCTTTTTATCGAAAAAAGTGGGCGGGCAAGGATCCGACACCAGCAGCATCAGAGGGTGAGTTCACCCTTGATTACTCTGCTTATTAGGTGTAGGATGGTTAAGAAGCACCTTAAATGTCATCTATCACCATTTACTGGAAGTGATGTCATTACTGGAAGTAATAGAGGAACCAGAAGTGACGTCAACACCAGGAATAGCTGAACAAAGTCCTTCTCACCAGGAAATGACGTCTTTTGGGTAGAAATGGACCTAAGGAGACGTCATTACCAAAAGGGGAAGTGACTGCAGAACCGGAAGTGATTTCAGACCCGGAAGTGCTGTCAGAACCGGAAGTGACGTAATAGGTGGTATTAAAGGTCACTAATCCAGGTTTACTATCGTCAAATCAGCAAATATAATGATAAATCTTGTGATAATATCACGTATTTGATGGATTATTGACATAGTTTTCTGATTTTCAATTCCTCAAGGGGAATTTCAGAGGAAATTATCTCAGTAGGATGAGAATCAGTACATTATGGTTTCCGGATTGCTGTCGATTACTCAGGGAGTTACTGGAGGCAGATCCCACCGGGGTCCCTCTGGTATATTCCGGCAGATATGTAATAGAGGTAGAAGTTTCGTAAGAATTAGCGAACAATTGTTATCATTGTTTATAATTCTAAGAATACTACCTCTATTACATACAAATTACTCCCTCCCACCTCCCCTATTCATTTACCTCTAGTAGCAGATGGGGGGGAAATTTGATATGGCCGCCATTGTGACGTCACAGCGTGGTTAGTTACGAAACTACTTGGCGGCAACTAATTGTGTGTAATTGACAGTGAAGAGGATGTCTGTTGATATTTTTTCGATAGTGTGATTGAAGCCAAAATACAGGATTTATGGTAGATATGGCAGATATGTAATGGAGGTAGTATTCTTAGAATCATTAACAATGATAACTATTGTTTGATATTGGATGCTGACAGAGATAGGACCAACTGACAGACAGTAGAACTAGAAATAGGATGCTGACAGAGATAGGACCAACTGACACACAGTAGAACTAGACATAGGATGCTGACAGAGACAGGACCAACTGACAGACAGTAGAACTAGACATAGGATGCTGACAGAGATAGGACCAACTGACAGGCAGTAGAACTAGACATAGGATGCTGACAGAGACAGGACCAACTGACAGGCAGTAGAACTAGACATTGGGGGCTGACAGAGATAGGACCAACTGACAGACAGTAGAACTAGACATTGGGGGCTGACAGAGATAGGACCAACTGACAGACAGTAGAACTAGACATTGGGGGCTGAGAGAGACAGGACCAACTGACAGACAGTAGAACTAGACATAGGATGCTGACAGAGATAGCTAGGACCAACTGACAGACAGTAGACCTAGACATTGGGGGCTGACACAGATAGGACCAACTGACAGACAGTAGAACTAGACATAGGATGCTGACACAGACAGGACCAACTGACAGACAGTAGAACTAGACATTGGGGGCTGACACAGATAGGACCAACTGACAGACAGTAGAACTAGACATAGGATGCTGATAGAGACAGGACCAACTGACAGACAGTAGAACTAGACATAGGATGCTGACAGAGATAGGACCAACTGACAGGCAGTAGAACTAGACATAGGATGCTGACAGAGATAGGACCAACTGACAGGCAGTAGAACTAGATATAGGATGCTGACAGAGACAGGACCAACTGACAGGCAGTAGAACTAGATATAGGATGCTGACAGAGACAGGACCAACTGACAGGCAGTAGAACTAGACATAGGATGCTGACAGAGACAGGACCAACTGACAGGCAGTAGAACTAGACATAGGATGCTGACAGAGACAGGACCAACTGACAGGCAGTAGAACTAGATATAGGATGCTGACAGAGACAGGACCAACTGACAGGCAGTAGAACTAGATATAGGATGCTGACAGAGACAGGACCAACTGACAGGCAGTAGAACTAGACATAGGATGCTGACAGAGATAGGACCAACTGACAGACAGTAGAACTAGACATAGGATGATGACAGATGGGAATAGCTGACAGACAGTAGAACTAGACATACGATGTTGACACAGATAGGACCAACTGACAGGCAGTAGAACTAGACATAGGATGCTGACAGACACAGGACCAACTGACAGGCAGTAGAACTAGACATAGGATGCTGACAGAGATAGGACCAACTGACAGGCAGTAGAACTAGACATAGGATGCTGACAGACACAGGACCAACTGACAGGCAGTAGAACTAGACATAGGATGCTGACAGAGACAGGACCAACTTACAGGCAGTAGAACTAGATATAGGATGCTGACAGAGACAGGACCAACTGACAGGCAGTAGAACTAGACATAGGATGCTGACAGAGACAGGACCAACTGACAGGCAGTAGAACTAGATATAGGATGCTGACAGAGACAGGACCAACTGACAGGCAGTAGAACTAGATATAGGATGCTGACAGAGACAGGACCAACTGACAGGCAGTAGAACTAGACATTGGATGTTGACAGACAGGACCAACTGACAGGCAGTAGAACTAGACATCTGGTGCTGACAGAGATTGACAAGAAATAGAACATATTTATATCAAGTAAAGGAATCTACCCTATCACAGTCATTGGCGGCAATGTTAAAGGAGAGATTTGTGGTGCAAAATCAATTTTGTTTTATTCATCTGTAGTGAAAATGATTAAAAAAATATGACAGTAGGTTATTTGTCATGTGTTCGTATAGATGAATGTACTATATATGTTCCCTTGTTTTACAGGATACTACCAGAATGAGAAGGTGTTTGATGAGGAGCCCACAGACACCGACCGAATGTTGCCTGTGTCATCACCTAGGGCTGTTGCCAATCCTGAATACTTCGATAGATCGGAGGAAGAACCGTGGACAAAGCCACATCATAATGGAGTGCACCCACCTATCATTTTGCCTAAGTCAATCATGTCAAATGGACACAACTACTACAATGATATTGGTGGTCACCCAGAATCCAAACCATTTGTTTTGGCATCTGATCAGAACTCGGAAACAACTGTGTAGCATTGGTACACAGTATCAGAGATAGGGCAGACAACTCTGGGACAACTCACCTCTGTGATGTTACATGCTGGGACCTTGACACTTACTCAATGCTCAGAGGCAGGACGGAGAGGAGACTGTCCGACCTTCACCTTACTGGATTTGTAATGTTAGGCTCAATACTGCAAATGACTGTTGTCTGCAGAAAACAACTTGAAGTGTCTGAATGCCTGATACTGTTCAGCATCTAGATGTTAGCAACAGAGAAGCTAAGAGTCACTGTGATGTGTCTGAGACATATGCTAGCTGTTAATAGCCTTGGTGTTGTGCAGCTGCTGTTGATACAAGGCATTCAAAATCTGATTACATGATAAGTGCAGAACTACATCCACAAGTTGTCCACATACTGCCAGTTGTTATGTTGTTACCATGGTAGCAGTGATGCTCTGTTGGGCAATGCCATGGAGTTGTTATGTACAGAACCTTGTCAGCTGCTAGTTGAGCTACTCTAGTTAGCAGTAGCGATCAGAGTCCGCAGGGCTGGAACTCTATCATAAAGTGACATCCCAGGAATATGATTGGTTGTGCCTGTCACCTGACGTGATAAGAATGTTTCCTTGCATACATTTCACTGTTGTGAAAGAGGGTTTACAACACCATGAATTAACAAAATCATATGTGAAGTGGCAAGAAGTTTGTGGCACAATGTTAGAAAGAGGCATAATTTGATGTGATCAAAAATAGATGCTTCAGCCATTTTAACTGATGACATATGGACCAATGGATTTTACTTAACCAACATCTTAATACCCTAAACAAAATATTTCCAGTGTGATAACTTGCTCAGATTGAACTCAGCAGGTGTTTTAGACATATTTTCCGTCAACTCCAGACCTAAATCAAAACCATCCATGTTCCTGGCTGACATAGTGAAATGTGAAATTGGTGCTGATATGTGTGAAATCCTTTGGAGAAGAGACGACTCACGGGGGTATAGAAAACATCGGTGACTCTGCATCTAATCTTTTGTGTGTAAGACAGATCATTACCAAGAGAATGATTTGATGAAGACTCCCACCATTAGCTGTGAGGTTACCTTAGACCTAGTGAATTGGACACACATCTTATGAAGTCTTTAATATTCAGGAATGGTGGTTTTAGCATGACAGGTACTCTGGACTTGAGTTAGTGTGTTGATAGGTCAAGTTATGTCTGCTCACATTTAACAGCTCTGTAAACTCGCTGGGTGCAGAAAATCAACACCATACTAATTTTATATTATGTCCAAACTGTTGACATTTTATGTTTATAGTAGTTTATGACTACAAATTCTTCATATAAAATTGTTTAATCTTGGGATAAGTACATGTCTCTCGCCTGCTCATGCTAAAACCAGTGTACAGGTTGCTGCTATTATGGAAATAATATGTCCCTGTTTGTATCTAAATATTTGCATATGAATATTTTGTATGCTATCAAATGTTCAATACACAAAGGTGACGTCTTTGACAATGTTTCACGAAATTAAGGCATTTTTAAAAAACAAATGAGATTTTTTCAGGTTTTATTCAGTGGATGTTCCCACAGACATCACAGCTTCTTTTCAATAAAATATTTTACTTTATGAAAACTGTTCTTATTTCTTTTAAACTGTTCATTTTGTGGACATCAGTTCTTGTTGTAACCTGTTGTATTGTGGCTTTTAATATCTGAACATTGAATCAACTGATGATGGTACACAGGTGACATTGGGAAGGTGCTGCCCCCAGACATTTTGTTGGTTGTAACTTCTGTTGGTGTTAACTCCTGATAATGTCAGGAAGGTGGTTGATAATGTCATGTTTGTGTATTGAACACTTGTCAGTCTCGTGTTTGTGCAGTAGCTTGTCAGTCATCATGTACATTAGTGACTATTTCATGTTGTATATAGATAGTTGTTAAAACTCATATTTTTATATACCACTATATACTACATGCACAATTACATGTTTCAGGCTTACAAAGGATAATGAAGGAACAAATGAATGTGATTTTTGCATCTATGCAGATTTTTACTCATGTTTTGTAAGCCTACATACCTCACAGATCTTCATAATGTGCCATGCATTAGAGTAGCCCCTACAGTACTGTGTACCACCAAACTCCAATCCTACTCCCATGTTTACAGCTCCTGTCCTGAGACTAGGCCTACAAAAATGTTGTCACTGATATTACCAACAAAACAGTCTACATCTCGAGGTAACAGATTTAATTGATCCTCTTTATAAATGTATACAGGAAATATTTGTGCTAATTGCATTTTTGCTGGCACATTGACTGTGCATTTGTCCTAAATAAAATACTTGATCTTCACAGCCAATAAGCAGTTGCATCGTAGCATTTTGGAAAACTAGATTCTGAAATTCATGTGTACTATAGATCATAAATAGGTTATTTTCCATAGGTCACTGAACGTAATTGTTAAAATGCCTCCAATATCCCAAGATGTGAAATTTAGTTCAATATGCCGTAACCAGCTAAATTTTGATATGTACATATAAATTTCATTGTGAACAAATCCATTTGCCGTCCATGAACAATTCTACTGAAGTACAACCGACTACTTACAGAGCCTAACAACACTGATCAACTGATGGAATGAGGTACACAAACACTGTACCTTCACAGTTATAGTTAGAATTCCGATTCTCATGTTGAATACTTACTTTGCTGTTTTATGAAAGTTAATTGTCATTGTTCTAGAAAGATGGCACCAGTGGTAGGCTTATGGCAGGCATGTTGATACCACAGCTTGCACGGTTGTCCACTGCTCTGTGTGGGCTCAATGTGCGGTTATAGATGTCAAGTTAACATTGTATTTCTGTGTATTGTTACGATGTTATTCGTTTTATGATTCGATTGATTGTTAAGTTAATAAGATTCAGGTGAATCATGTATTTGCTCAACCACTGGCCAGTGATCTAGACATACTTTGCTTCCCAAGTACCAATGTTTCTTTAACAGTAACACAATGTTGTAGAATCAAGGAAAATACAAGGAATACATTTGTTTGTGCCACATGTTTCAGATTGTAAGTTCTATCAGAGACCATATGTATATGACCCCTGGTTCTGTGTCCAGCACTCTTGACTTGTGTAAGTGAAGGAATATTTGGGTCTTTAAAGACATGAAGTTACCTGACCTTAATTCAGAAATATTTGCATTGTTTTGTAGGGTAAATATGGTATCATCACACACTTAATTTTCCTTTTTTCTAAGTAGTTGCTACTTCTCACCTTCACTAGTTTGTGTACTGACATCGAAATAAAAGTAGATAAGATAATCAGATATCAAGATTGACATTATGTACATAGTCATAGGAAAATTCAAACATATTTTGATTAAGATCCTAAACCATGGAAGAAATGTCATCCTTTTTCTGAAACATCCCCATTCTTCATGTCTGTTGTTGATATATGACACCTACATGCTCTCTTTGGCTGTTCTAAGTGAATTTTAAAAAATAAATTAATTGTATTCTTTGGAGATTGTATAGTGCATTTTATTCAACATACATTGTATTTTACATTTTCTTAGACTTACATTGGATAGACTAATGTTTCAACAGATTCTGAGTCATACTGTGCTAATATCATGCATTTTGTTTTATATCAGGAACTTATACACAGAAATACCTGACAGAATGTCTGCACAGTGACACAATATCTGCACTGACACAATGTCTATACTGGCATAATGTCTTTGCAGACACAATATGTATACTGATACAATGCCATTCATTGACTACTGACACAATGTGTAAATTTATACAATGCCATTCATTGACTACTGACACAATGTGTATACTGATACATTGACTACTGACACAATGTGTATACTGATACATTGACTACTGAAACATGTGTATACTGATACAATGCCTACATTGACTACAGACACAATGTGTAATTGGTACATTGACTACTGACACAATGTGTATTTGATACAATGCCTACATTGACTACTGACACAATGTGTATTTGATACAATGCCTACATTGACTACTGACACAATGTGTATACTGATACATTGACAACTGACACAATGTGTATTTGATACAATGCCTACATTGACTGCTGACACAATGTGTATACTGATACATTGACTACAGACACAATGTGTATACTGATACATTGACTACTGACAAAATGAGTATACTGATACATTGACTACTGACAAAATGTGTATACTGATACATTGACTACTGACAAAATGTGTATACTGTTACAACACCTACATGGACTACTGACACAATGTGTATACTGACACAATGCCTACATTGACTACTGACACAATATGTATACTGATACAAATCTATACTGGTAGGTGAGTATGCTCAATGTTTGTTGTGTCAACACGACATTAGTGAGTCAGGGGTAGATGTTGGGTGTGTCAACATGACATTAGTGAGTCAGTGGTTAATGTTGGGTGTGTCTAGATGACATTAGTGAGTCAGTGGTTGATGTTGGGTGTGTCAACATGACATTAGTGAGTCAGTGGTTGATGTTGGGTGTGTCATGACAATAGTGAGTCAGTGGTAGATGTTGGGTGTTAACATAACATTAGTGAGTCAGTGGTTGATGTTGGGTGTGTCAACATGACATTAGTGAGTCAGTGGTAGATGTTGGGTGTGTCAACATGACATTAGTGAGTCAGTGGTAGATGTTGGGTGTGTCAACATGACATTAGTGAGTCAGTGGTTGATGTTGGGTGTGTCAACATGACATTAGTGAGTCAGTGGTTGATGTTGGATGTGTCAACATGACATTAGTGAGTCAGTGGTTGATGGTAGGGCTGGCTGTCATTACAGATGATAAAGATTGATGATCGTAACTAAATATCAATCAATTATTGATAAACATTGGAGAAGTAACTTTGAGCAAATAGCAAAAAAGTCTAAAAGAAGTCAGCACATTTCACTCCAGTGGCACATTTAAGCAGGGATTACTTTGTGGACATTTATTATGTAACAAAAACAGTTACTTTCCATCATTACTGACAATAACAAGTTTGTTTTGGTAAATCTAAACTTTATTTCATCACAAAAGTTTATGTAAGATATTATTGATTACACAATTTCATATCGATAATCGTTAATGCTTCATCCCATCAACAATAGTTCTAATTATCGATCTGTTTTGCCAGCCCAAGTAGGTGTGTAACCTGACATGTATGTGTCAGTTTGTTTGTTTGTTTGTTTGTTTGTTGTTTAACACCTTGCCTTTTACAAGCATAGTTGCCTTTTACGGCAAGCATGGGTTGCTGAAGACCTGTTCTGACCCGGATCTCCACGGGAGGTATGTGTCAGTGGTAGCTTGTGTGTCTACATGACTTTAGTGTCAGTGGTAGATGTTGGTGCGTCAACAGTATACATTGATGTTTGGGTGACAAGTATTGAGGACCAGGGATCAGCATCTTGCATAATTTTCTCATCTATTTCATCTCAACTATGCAATAATCTATACAGGTTTTTTTGCTTGATTTTGTGTATTCATTCTAGAGTGTTTGTACTGTTCAGCACTTCTATAAGAAGGTTTAATGACAGCATAAAACTAACCTTTGTTCTTTTCAAAATAAAATGGGTGATTCTGTTCTCTTTATGTTACAATAATATCAAATACTGCTCAGAGGCATGGGAATCATGAGCCCTGAAGGTTTTTTGGGCAAATATTGTTTTCAGTAAAGTATTTGCAGAATTGCTTTGTTGATTTCTATTGACTTTGCAAGATGAAACGGGTATACAGAGATAGGCCATTGTATCTGGTCTAGGTGACAAACAGGCATGCTTATTCCCTTAGTTAACAGAATTCAAAGTTAACAGAATATGTTGATATATTTGACTCGCTAAAGGGATTTGTGTGGAAATTATTCCTCTTCAGTGCGGCAAATATTAAAGAAGCTAGAGCAATGTCCCATATTATGTTGTTATCTGACACCAGAGCTTTCTTCTCTACCGCCTCCCCCAGTGTATGTTATCAGACAGCAGAGTTATCTTCTGTCCCCCAGTGTATGTTATCAGACAGCAGTTATTTTCGGCCCCCCCTCCCCCAGTGTATGTTATCAGACAGCAGAGAGCAGAGTTATCTTCTGTCCCCCCCTCCAGTGTATGTTATCAGACAGCAGAGTTATTTTCTGTCCCCCCCTCCAGTGTATGTTATCAGACAGCAGAGTTATTTTCTGTCCCCCCCTCCAGTGTATGTTATCAGACAGCAGAGTTATTTTCTGCCCCCCCCCCCCCCCTCCTCCAGTATATGTTATCAGAGAGCAGAGTTATCTTCTGCCCCATCCCCAGTGTATGTCATCAGACAGCAGAGTTCTCATCTGCCCCCCCCCCCCCTCCCCCAGTGTATGTTATCCGACAGCAGAGAGCAGAGTTATCTTCTGTCCCCCCCCCCCCCCTACCCCAGTGTATGTTATCAGACAGCAGAGTAATTTTCTGCCCCCACCCCAGTGTATGTTATCAGACAGCAGAGAGCAGAGTTATCTTCTGTCCCCCCCCCCCCCCCCCCCCCCCAGTGTATGTTTTCAGACAGCAGAGTTATTTTCTGCCCCCCAACCCCCTCCCCCAGTGTATGTTATCAGACAGCAGATTTATTTTCTGTCCCCCCACCCCCAGCCCCAGTGTATGTTATCAGACACCAGAGCAATCTTCTCTCACCTCCCCCCCAGTGTTTGTTACTTGCCACCAAGTTGTATCCCACCCCCAGCCACATTGTACATAACTCCGACAGCAGAGCTGTGGGTTCTTTTCATCTCCTCCCCCGGGGTTTACGTTATGTCCCGAAGCTGCCTTGGATCATAGGAAATTATTGTGAGTATAATCATGTATCAACCAATAGCACTGTACAGTTATATGTTTTGTACCTGTACTGCTTACTGCTGCGCTTGCATAGATGTTTTTTTCTGGATATGAGCCAAATGTCATTCATTTTCATTTCATTTGTTTTAGGCCACAAAGATGTAATTAAGTTGTTTTGATTAATTAAACAAAATGTATGTGCTGTCATGGATTATGTTTTCCTTCCTCAACCACACAATAACAGTGGATGGCATATTCCAGCCTCATGTCGTGATGTATGCTCACACTATATCTCTCTGTATGTGCTGTGTATTGACCAAACCCCATTACCAAGAGCAGATGTTATTCTATCTTGCCTTGTCTCATTTGCCAACATCACCAGTGACACCAGACTTCTTACATATCACAAAGACTACTCTTTCATCAGGTATACTGGAGTAATCCCCTTTAATGGGTGGCCCAGTACTTGGTTTGAGGTGCCTCATGCATGTCAAGTGGCTGTGCAGATTTGGGCCACTTGGTTGTGTCTTTAAATCCGAGATTCACCCCGATTATGATTCCTGGTTTGTAAACATGATACACATGCTCTAAGGTTTCACAAACAGGTAAGCCTGTATGACATTCAACACTTCAGGATTTTCTCCCACAATAAGTTGGCTCCCTCTATAACTGAAATTCTGTTTAATGCTGCACTGAATCCAACTTACTATGCAACCTGACATGACCAACAAGGTAATCAATTCCCATGTCAAGGACTTTCAAGGTAATGTTTGAATGTATTCCTTTCATTCATTACATGCATGTCAACATATTGGGAACCTCTTGTTTATGTCATAAGTCTAGTTGAGTGTTTTTTATAAACCACAGGAACAGAGATAAGGAAATGACCATTGAAACTGTAATGTTCAGTGAAATATTTTTCAATAGGTTTCAGTTTGTAAACAGTGATAACCAGTGTAACAAAGTACAGCTCACCAGCTTCTGTGGCAGAGTGATTAATGATTTCATTTGATTGTGACGTCATGGTAACTGACATGATCTGCAAAGAATCCTGATGCAATTTCTTTTCAACTATATCTATCCCCTGTGGAAGTCAGTTTCGGATACTAAAATATATGTTTATGATCTGGGACTTGCAAGATATTTTGACAAATCGTTTAAAAAATAAGGCAAATTGGACAAAGCATTGGGTTCCTTTAACAGGATCTGAGCATGGTTGTGGATTGAGTTGTGTGTGAGCCAAATAAAATATTTTCCTCTGTGAAATACGATATCCCCTTCTTGCTGTCCCCCTACAGTTACACATCAATTATGTAGAGAAACAACAGGCAGTAGCTGTCATCTGAATGAAGTATTTGTTGCCTAACTTTTAATGTATTCCATTATACTAAAGTAAGTGCTTGCAAGCAGTGTCAGTCATCATATGTTTGAAGCACAGCCAGATGAGACATGCTGCCATATTCATTCATCACCGATTTGAAAGTGCTCTCATATCACTTCAAGACATTACCTACAGAAGAAGGCTACATTTGCATCCTCTGCAGAATAAGATGAATTCCTCGTGATCTCTCCAACTGGATGAACTCATAACACATCCAACCCCCAGACTGCTGGATTGGAAATGGTCATGCCGGGAATTCCTCTCAGGTTTCCTTTCATGTACATCACATGCACATGGACATTTTGAACACATGGTGGGGAGCTCCCATGGATAGCTCGACAGTCCAGCAGGTATGGTCAGAAGGGAACAAGGCACTTCATATCAACTGTCAGGAAATGAAGCAAATTTTTCTCGCTCTCAAGACTTGGATCACTTGGCTTCATAACTCCTCAGGATAGGTAGCAACAGACAATACCTCTGTGGTAGCCTACATTCAGAGGCAGGGAGGGTCGAGATCAGAAAGTTTACTCAAGGAGGTGACACCTTTTTTTCAGATTGGCAGACACAATCAGGTGCAGATTTGGGTACTGCCCAGAGAAACAACATAATCTCAACAGAATTGTCCCTCCATCCAGAAGTGTTCCGCTTGATCACGTCAACTTTGGACACTCATCTCAACAACAAGCTACCAGTCTATGTCAGCATGGTACCCTCTTCGCTTATGCATTCACACCTTAGTCTCGACTAGACAGAGTGATCAAGAAGGTAAAGGAGACAGATTGTGTCATCATTCTGATAGCTCCAGCGTGGCCTAAAAAAACATGGTGACCTGGGATTTCCCACATCTGATGGAAGAGCTTCTAAGACTTCCAGAATGTCAGGACATATTCCACGGCAACCGCCATTGCCTTCATCTACACTCTTGAAGTTTCCGCGTTCAAAATGCAAGTTGTGGTATTCTCAGAATCTACGTCTTCAGCAGTGGTACAATGATGGAGGTCATCATCATCATCTGCCATATATGACATATGACGGAGAAAGTTCTACCAGTGGAGAAGAGTAGGGGGATTGGAAGATAACCATTCCATGGTTGCTGAAATTCCTTCTACACTTGAGAAGGTCTACGAATTCAGGCATGGCACCAGTGAGACAACTGACAACATGAAAGTCTCTCAGTGGTGAAAGGTCCAGTGATCAGCAACCTTTAAGGGAAAGTTAGTTTATTGATCATATTGTCAGCCAGGGCAGGACAGAAATGGTTAAATGGCTGGACTGACATCATAAGTCTTGGAGTGATCTACGGGTCTGTGGAATTCTCTAGAGGTGACGGCAATAATGAAAATGTCGTCAAGCTACTAGAAGTGATGTCTGCAAGAAATGAGGTTATCAGAAACGGAGAGATCACCGTAGAAACTAATGTAACGCTATCACCGGCAAAATAGCCCGGAATGGACGTCAGGTGTAAAGGCAATATCTCAAGTTTGCAAACAAAATTATAAATTAGGTATTGTGACTTTACTTACCGTTTTCTTCATGTTTATATATTCACTGTTATATAATGTTTCCTGCGCAACTTATGATTTTATGGTGTTTCATGTCCATTCTGTAATGTAGGTAGTATTCTTAGAATTATACACAATGATAACTATTGTTTCATATTGTACTGTTGAGCAATGGGCTGCTGGGCCCGTATGAAAGAAATAGACAACACCCGTTTAATAATGCCCGTAAAACATACAAACGTAGAAATTGGACTGAGAAGTAGTAAACTGAGGAGTTACTCCGCAAACTTGAATTCTTAGCTGCAAGAAACCCCCAGGAATGCTGGAGGCTCGTCTGTTAACTCACTGAGAAGAAGTAGATGAACAACAAGGAAACATATCTGATGAGGCCTGGTACTTAAATAGTGACATACCAGATAACCCTTATTATCAGTATAATATATCTGAATCTAGGAAATCAGAACATAATAGGAAATAGACAAGATGATAAACCCGGAATATGTTATTCTCAAATAACAGCGTCAGGACTTTAGACTGCTGCGGGAAAATAAAACGTGGCAAATTTAGAGGCATTAGAATTTGAGTCTAAATGAGATAATTTGAAATTCCGTCACTGTCCCAGCCGATCACTACCGAAACTTATTTAATTTCATTTTACATAGTGACATATTCCAATCGCAGTGGAGGACATTAGGGACGACGGGTAACTCGGGTACCCGGGTCGGGTGGGTACTGAGCAGGACCCGGGTACCAACATGACTACCCGGACCCGTGGTCAGTCACTTGATATATTGTTTTATGACAAAAATTATCTAAACTCTATGCTTACACTGCAAGTCACTCATGTTGGCATTTCTTTCTGACTATGCACCCATTCCTTCTCACTTTTCTTATGGTTGAATAAATATATAACTCAGGGTTAGAAATTGGCACTAGTCCTATAGTCCTTGCCAAACTGCCCAATAGTTAAGGTATCATAAGGACTAGTAGAAATTTGCCATTTTTAATGGTTTTGCTAAATATTATCATTATAAGGACTAGTGGACCAAAAATGTTAGTTTCTACCGCTGTAACTTAAATCAACTTCAGTGTATGCATGACCAGATTGTTTAATACATGTATCTGAATACGTTTTGCAAGTGCTGTGGTAAAATAAAATCCCAGTCGGACATTTTGCATCTCTTGAGACCTACAGTGGGTACCGGGTAGGGTCGGGTAATAGGGGGGTGGGTACCCGGGTAGTAAATTTGGACTCGTCCCGGCCCTAGAGTACGTCCTACATTGTTCCAATCCACAAGAAAGGGGGATATTGATGGTGTTGATCTTTATATTGGGATAGCTCTTGGAGCCTGCTTTAAATCTAAATTAGAAGTAACTATTTTAAACTCACATGCAATCATCCGACATTCGGCCTTGTAGCAAGGGAGATAACCAGAAGTTTCAAACCTTAGCGCGTGAATGGGCTATTGGTGTGAGGAGCTTGAATTTCCCTGTAGAACTCAGAAAATTCCACACGGTGTGATTAGTTTAAGTTAACACAGTGTATGGAGCTCGAAGAAGGGACCTTACTCTTATTTATTATAACGATTATCTCCCTTAGACCATTCGCTGCATTGATGGCACTGCACGGTTTGCCGCCTTCACAAGGCACTGCATTGGTGATGCAATCTTTCAACGACGTATATATGACGTCTCGTGTTTACTTCTATCTTGATTCAGTGTTTGTTATTTATGTTCTTCTATTGGGATCATGCGTCGACAATTTCTGTCACACAAACAGGCCAACCGGAAATATCCTAAGCATCTGTAGCCATGTTGCAAATATGACCAATCTTCTAGAATATCAATGTGGCACAATGACTATCATAGTTACCAATTTTATCGAAAAAAACTAATTGTCCCCGAAAATTCTTGAAACAAATAATTATGCTTGAGACTGTTGAATCAAAATGTCTGCCGCAAAATTTGCACTGTTGCTAGGTGATTTTCTTTAAAAATACATTCAGGCTCATAGTTTTAAATAAAACAATTATCTGATTTTGCAGCTGAAACTGAAAAGAATATACACTGAACCGCAAAAGAAACGTCACCATTGATAGATATATGAGAAACCTTATTTGTCCAAACACTGTAAACATACTTCGAGACATATAAAAAATATGAAACTTGGCAAATCTGATCATCAAGGTTGAAATTAAAGTGTCAAATGTTCTTAAAGTGAAACACAACACTAGTCTCTGAGAAAATTGCATCACATGTCAGTATCTCGTGTGTCCGCGATGTGCATTGATGAGTGCCGTGCAATGTCGATACATGAGG